AAAAAGAAGAAGCGAAGACAGAAGAGGCTAAAGAGGAACAAAAAGAAGAAGCGAAGACAGAAGAGGCTAAAGAGGAACAAAAAGAAGAAGCGAAGAAAGAAGAGGCTAAAGTGGAACAAAAAGAAGAAGCGAAGACAGAAGAGACTAAAGAGGAACAAAAAGAAGAAGCGAAGACAGAAGAGGCTAAAGAGGAACAAAAAGAAGAAGCGAAGACAGAAGAGGCTAAAGATGAGCAAAAAGAAGAAGCGAAGACAGAAGAGGCTAAAGAGGAACAAAAAGAAGAAGCAAAGGCAGAAGAGGCTAAAGAGGAACAAAAAGAAGAAGCGAAGACAGAAGAGGCTAAAGAGGAACAAAAAGAAGAAGCGAAGACAGAAGAGGCTAAAGTCGAACCAAAAGAAGAACCGAAGCCAGAAGAGACTAAAGCGGAACAAAAAGAAGAAGCGAAGACAGGAGAGGCTAAAGTGGAACAAAAAGAAGAAGCGAAGGCAGATGAGACTAAAGTGGAACCAAAAGAAGCGAAGCCGGAAGAGGGTAAAGTGGAGGAACTAAAAGAAGAAGCGAAGGCAGATGAGACTAAAGTGGAACCAAAAGCAGAAACGAAGCCGGAAGAAGGTAAAGTGGAGGAACCAAAAGAAGAAGCGAAGCCGGAAGTCGCTGATGAAGGGGCAGACACAGATTCGGAGACTGACGATGAAGAACTAAGGTAAAGAAGGATGCCGTCAAGCAACTTGCTGTTCAACTCGGAGTTCGCGATTGGCTGGATAAATTGAAGGAGCAGAAGAAGATGTTGAAAAAGGAGAACGAAGAACTGAAGGCTAAAGTTGAATCGAAAGGTATGTCTTAGAGTTATTATATCTGTTTTAGTCTAGCAATAAAAAGCTAAATTAATAACTTTAAGCAATAGTTTGATTAAGATATGGTACTAAACCAACGAATAGTGAGTAATGGCTGTGTAAATCTAGAATATTTTAATGTTTGAAGGATTTAGTGCTTCTTTTTCCCTGTGTCATTTTTAGCCACATGCTGGTATGCTTAACTGCCTAGATAATTTTCCCGAGAAGGATGTTTTACAATGTTTGTAATAGATAAGGGTGATTTTACACAAACATGAAATGCATCAGAAGACCAGAAACGAACAGGGTTTGTAGCTGTTATCGAAAGTCTACTGTAATTAATGGGCAAGACAAAAATCAGTTGGTTATGTGTCTCGAATTTCAGTCATCACAATTCAGCTTTTGGTATTTTTCAGACATTCTCCATTTCCTTAGCGGTAATTGATCTCGATGATGGTTTATGACAGGACTAAGCCAAGCATTTGATGGATGATATAGTAGTCGATTACCCGCGGACATTAAGTACTAAAAAATGTCGTAAATTCGTTAGAAAAAAAACGTTTATACTTGAATTTAATTGGTTGTATTGGTTGGCTTAATAATTGCCTTTGCCCCATTTACTATAATAATATAATTCAAAGTCCTTTTCTTTGGAAAAATATAACTAGATTTCCATCATGAAAAAAGTTGTTTCTTTCCTGTTAAATGGTACCTCTATTGTTACAATCATGCTTTTGTGCCATGGTAACCATGTTTGATTTCCTAATTGGTTCAACAAAAGAAGTGCCGAAATTTCCGTATAAACACAGAAGGATTTAGGCACTTTTGATTTCTAACGCACTGTCATAGTCAGCCCTGTATTAAACTCTAGAATGTAAAATCATTAAAACTTTTCCTATTATTGTAAAAGAAAAAAAACAGGTCCTATAATCTATGAGAATACACATTTCATTAAGCAGTAACGGATATATGATTTACTAACTTTAAGGTTCCGAAGGATTAGTGCTGAGTTAAAATGGTATGATCATTTATCTGTGCCTTCTAACAGAGGACGACAAACCAAAAGAAGAACCGAAGCCAGAAGAGACTAAAGCGGAACAAAAAGAAGAAGCGAAGACAGAAGAGACTAAAGAGGAACAAAAAGAAGAAGCGAAGACAGAAGAGGCTAAAGAGGAACAAAAAGAAGAAGCGAAGACAGAAGAGGCTAAAGAGGAGCAAAAAGAAGAAGCGAAGGCAGAAGAGGCTAAAGAGGAACAAAAAGAAGAAGCGAAGACAGAAGAGGCTAAAGAGGAACAAAAAGAAGAAGCGAAGACAGAAGAGGCTAAAGAGGAACAAAAAGAAGAAGCGAAGACAGAAGAGGCTAAAGAGGAACAAAAAGAAGAAGCGAAGACAGAAGAGACTAAAGTGGAACAAAAAGAAGAAGCAAAGACAGAAGAGACTAAAGAGGAACAAAAAGAAGAAGCGAAGACAGAAGAGGCTAAAGTGGAACAAAAAGAAGAAGTGAAGACATCAGAGACTAAAGAAGAACAAAAAGAAGAAGAGAAGACAGAAGAGGCTAAAGTGGAGCAAAAAGAAGAAGCGAAGAAAGAAGAGGCTAAAGTGGAACAAAAAGAAGAAGCGAAGACAGAAGAGGCTAAAGTGGAACAAAAAGAAGAAGCGAAGACAGAAGAGGCTAAAGTGGAACAAAAAGAAGAAGCGAAGACAGAAGAGACTAAAGTGGAACAAAAAGAAGAAGCGAAGACAGAAGAGGCTAAAGTGGAACAAAAAGAAGAAGCGAAGAAAGAAGAGACGAAAGTGGAACAAAAAGAAGAAGCGAAGACAGAAGAGGCTAAAGTGGAACAAAAAGAAGAAGAGAAGGCCGATGAGACTAAAGTGGAACAAAAAGAAGAAGCGAAAGCAGAAGAGAATAAAGTGGAACAAAAAGAAGAAGAGAAGACAGAAGAGACTAAAGTGGAACAAAAAGAAGAAGCGAAGAAAGAAGAGGCTAAATTGGAACAAAAAGAAGAAGCGAAGACAGAAGAGGCTAAAGTGGAACAAAAAGAAGAAAGCTGGAAGAAATCAGAAGAGACCAAAGAGGAACAAAAAGAAGAAGCGAAGGCTGAAGAGACTAAAGTGGAGCAAAAAGAAGAAGAGAAGACAGAAGAGACTAAAGTGGAGCAAAAAGAAGAAGCGAAGGCAGATGAGGCTAAAGTGGAACCAAAAGCAGAAACGAAGCCGGAAGAAGGTAAAGTGGAGGAACCAAAAGAAGAAGCGAAGCCGGAAGTCGCTGATGAAGGGGCAGACACAGATTCGGAGACTGACGATGAAGAAACTAAGGCAAAGAAGGATGCCGTCAAGCAACTTGCTGTTCAACTCGGAGTTCGCGATTGGCTGGATAAATTGAAGGAGCAAAAGAAGATATTGAAAAAGGAGAACGAAGAACTGAAGGCTAAAGTTGAATCGAAAGGTATGTCTCAGTACTAATATCTTTTTACCTCCATTAAAAATGGAGGTATTGTTTTTGGCGTGTCTGTGTGTGTGTGTGTGTGTCTGTGTGTGTGTGTTTGTTTGTGTTTCCGCACATTTGTAGTCAGCATATCTTTAGAACGCCTTTATGGATTGTGATGATATTTGGTATGTTGGTAAGTCTTAGGAAGACGAAGGTCAAGGTCAAATATTGGCCTCCTGGTGGATGATCTTGGTACTGCAGCAGAACTTCCGTTTTTTGTATCTTTTGTCCTGAACATGCTATCGTTTTGGCTTTTGGGTGACAGATAGCTTATCCTGTCAGGAATAAGTGGTGTGAGTTTGGTCATCCTAGCAGCTTGTCCTGGAACTGCAGGGCACTTTCTGGCGAAATCTGTAAAAGCCAATAAGTCCAGAGAGGAACAGCGTACAGCGTATTTTCATCATTTTTGGTGTGTAGGCTACTGAGAGAGAATTGTACATAATTAAATGTAAATTATGCAAATGAGTACCTAATTTGCATAATTGATGAGGAAATACTATAATTACAGTGTTTTATATAATAGTACTTTTATACATGTAATCTATTTAATATGTGGCAGGCAGAACATCAATAGATACCAATTATGCAAATGATGACCTAATTTGCCTAATTAATGTGAAAATTCTGTGACTCCTTATTGGTGAATGATTGGACTTTTATACCTTGTGACATGTTTAAGTTACTTAAAGGTTAACACAACTTTGCATATATTATGTTAATGTGCAGGTCATTTGCATGATTAATGTGGTCATGTTGTTCCTGACATGGAAATAAATAAAAATAAATAAATCAAAGACCATAACATATCCAGGACAAAGGATTTCTGCTGCAGTACCAAGGACAGCCACCTAGAGGCCTAAATTGGCCTCTATCATGCTAAGACCTACCCACATACTAAATATCATCTGATCACAACCCATAAAGCCAAGTTATGCAGACCACAAATATGCGGATACAACCCCCCCACACACACACACACAGGTATAGACACACACATACAGATCAAACACAATGCCTAAATCCTTTTTTCATAAATGTATAATAACAGTCTTTTTACGGGCTTGCTTCACATTGATGTTTTTATGTTTTTTTTCTCGTCAAAAGGAGACTGGATCACTGCTGAACCGCCATGGGTGATTGAGTCTTCTGGAAAAGAACAGACAGGCTATGAAGCGAGCAATGTCCTGAACAGCAAGGCGGACGCATTCTGGAGGTGCCCCGAAGATCAGCACCTCAACTTCATCGTGTTCGACTTCCGTACTGAGTACACCCTGTCCCAGATAAAACTCACTAATGTCGGGGACACAGACCACGACGTCAAGAGCTTCACACTCCAGACGTCGGCCTGCTCCAACCCATTCTGCTGGACCGACGTCAAAGTGTTCACAGACGTAGCAGCAGGCACCAAGGCACCGCAAGTGTTTGGTGGATTTGAAGCTTCTGCAAGATACTGGCGGGTTTTAGTGACAAAAACCCACAAACTACAACCGAACCTTGTTCAAGTCGAGTTTTTCGGCAAGAAAGGTACTTTTTTTCTTCATCTGCGGTTACGGAACATACTTGGGAATAAGGATGTAAACCCATGTCCATGCATATTTCCTGAGGTGGCGTTTTATGTAGAAATTTTGATTCCAAATATAAGTAACGTAACCATCTACATGTTCTTAATATATTACGTTCCAGTTCTGAAATAGATCAGCCACCATCATCGTCTTTGAGTCGAAGGGTGAAATAAGGAATGTCTTGCAATTGACGACATTTTCCCCAAATACAAAACGTACTTAATCTAATTTTCCAGGAGAGTGGCTGTACGGTCACCCCCCTCTGGCAATCGAATCGTCCAGCAGTTCCGACGGCTCCGAGGTTCTTGACGGCAGCAGCACGACGTTCTGGACTGATGGGCAGGAAGGACAGACCAGTTGGCACGTCACCTTCGACTTCCTGAACAAGTACGTCCTCTCCGGCCTGCGCATTACCACCGCGGGCGACACCACGCACGACGTCCGGTCATTCACTCTGCAGAGGTCGCCTTCCTGCGCTCCGTACAAATGGACGGATGTCAAGACCGTCACAGATGTCAAGGCTGGACTGAAGACGGCACAAGAGTTCAGTGGTTTCCAGTGCACCGCCTCGGCCAGGTACTGGCGCCTGGTCATCAACGCTACACAGAGCACGTCCCAGCCACATGTCACAGAAGTTAGCTTCTTCGGCTTCTCCGGTAAGTTTGTCTCAGGATCTCTGGCATATTCCACTGAACTCCAAGTTTCGTGTGTCCACCTATTTTAATCTATTCGTTAAATAAGTATAGTCGTTCAGCTATGTTGGTTCATAATATTACGGAGAAAACAGCACAAGAATTGTGACTTCATAAATTCCTCTTCATGATAACTAAAGATCCGGTTGCTCAGTATCTAGCCACTTCCCGGGAGTGTGACATGGGCACCGGGTAAAGGTAGCTGAAAGTCTGTATCGACCCCCGGCTCTGTTCTAGGAATGTTATTCTTGAGGGGAAGATAAACAGTAGGGCCCAGCAACCATCCTTGAAGGCCTCTATCCAAATATGAAAAAGAAACATGGGGGTATTTTCCTACTCTACCTTATGTCATTTGACACTAAAAATTTAAAAACCTGAATCCATTTGACGAAGTGGCAAGAGAGGAGGTAGGACAATAAACATGACAAAGGACAAAATATGTTTCATCCCATGTACTACCATAAAAAAAGGTATCGAGGGACAATCAAGTTCAAGTTTCAAGTTCAAGTTTTATTCATAAAAATCAGCCTTGCACCCAGTGCACAAACAAGCTGATTAACACTGATTTTTTACAATTCTGTAGTAAATACAAATACAAATTAACATTACAATTCCGATACAGACACACAAACAAACACATTACAAAACCACACATGGGCACTAAAGTAAAGACCAGAGAGTCCTGAGAGTCTTACTGCAAAGACTCGTTGTACAGGCATATTACCTTGTGTAAGAAGGAGTTTTTCAGTTTTTCTGTACGGGCTGCTGGTACTGTAAGTGCAGTTCCATTTCTTAAGGTCCTCCTAGTGGCCGTTGTCCTGGCCGGTGGAACCAGGTCATGGAGGGGGTGACCCTCGTCCAGCATGTTAAGTAGTTTCACTGCCGCCACCTCTCGCCTTTCCTTCAGCGTTGGCAGAGGAGGCACCTCACGTCTTCCCCCCAGTGAGATGATTCTCAAGTTTCTATCAGCTGTCATTTTGTTCAATACAGATGAAGCTGATTGTTACAAGCACGTGAAAGCAAGTGCGATTTCTGTGCTGGAGAGTGAGAACAGAGTTCTGAAGGTCAAGGTTGCAGACCAACAGAAGCTTTTGGAGCAGTTGATGGCAACCGTCAAATCCTGCGACACCTGTAGGGACAAGGCCAACCAGTTCGGCCAAGGGCAGCCAGCAGGTTAGTCCATTTTTTGTCTCTTCTGGAGAGTTAAGAGAAGTCCTAAGTCCCTGTCACACATAGCCAAATATGGCCTCCTGAACACTCCCAAACTCCTCCCAACCATGGTTAGGAGTAGGTCAGGATAAGGCCGACTGGTGTTCGGCTCGGTCGGCTACTGCTTGGCTGTGCCAGCTGAACATTCGGGTGTGGACTGACGGTTCGGCCATGGTTGGCTGGTGGTTGGCTAGTGTTCAGGGATATATCGGGGCATGGTTGGCAGTCAGATTTGACTTCATTTTAAGTCAATTAGAGTCGATTCGTATCGAAAGGTAGGTGTGGCCTAAATCTGAACAGGCTGCTCCCGAACTTTAGCCAACTTTGATCAGGGGATCTGAATGAGTGACAGGGACTTAAAGATCGTATATGTAGAACTGTTGAGATGATGATTGGAAGAAGTTTATCAGCGTTAATGTTTACATAAAGCTTCAAAGTTGTTTACTGCCACTGGTTTTATTGTACAATATATGGCTGTTGTTACTGCCGAGGTGCCCAGTCTGTCTGCTGCCCCCCTCCCGCTTCTCAACTGGAATCTTTGATACCCGATCTCGAGTGCTTTCGGTGCCCATTATAAACTCCTTAGAGTAAAATATTACGTAACATCGCCAAATGTCAGAATGTTTTGGCCATAGTGTAAGGTAACAAAACTTACATACTTGTTCCATTCTTATTGAAACGACAATTACTGAGGTAAAAATTATGATACGATCAACAAAAAGTAAGCAGTTCACACAAAAATTATTCCCTGCATTGTGACCATTTCAAGTAAAGTTTAATTTGTATAGTTTCCCTTCAAGAGTTAGTAGGTTTAAAAACTTATCGTTGAATTAAAATATCAGTCCCTAAAATTAAAGCCAAATCTATGGGTAAATTCTTCTTTTTCCGTAACTGATGGCCTCGTTTTGATCATTTACAACATGTGTGTACATAGCTAAGATATATGGTTTGAATTAATGGTAGTAAACATGTGTTTGGAGTTCAAACTGCAACAAGATTCTCGAATACCCATAGATTCATCTGATTTCGCTGCTCTTCCCAAAGTCTTGGAACAATGGCTAGTAATATCATCCACACTGCTGGTTTAAAGGAAACAGACCACTATTTTGAGCTCCCATTGAAATATATGGTAAAAATCTATAAAAAAACTGTCAAAAATCATCTACATCCGCTTTAGACCATGATTGACGAGCTAGTCTGACCCCTAAATTGTCCATTTAATCCACAATTCTGAGACTTTTACGGCAAAATTAAACTTTACCAGCCAAAACAAACTTGTCGTATCCTATGACCCCTCCAACAGCCTCAGACCACAGGCCAACTGACCAACGTCTACCGTGAAGCTCAAACAAATCTAGAGGCCATAAAAAAGTTCTAACCCCCTCCAGCTGAAAAATGCCAACATTGATCAATACATACCAAGAAAAACACTGTTTTAGAAGCGCCCATCAATACTCAGCTACTAAAACTGGGTCCTCTGCGCCCGAGCGAATTATTGTCCTTTGTCTAAGTAACTAATGATTCCATTGTTTATTGTTGGTGATAATTTGGCACATTTTAGTGTAGTAGGTTAAGGAAGCACTCGGGAACATCTGCTGCTTGGAGTCATTGCCCCTCCCCCCAGTCAGCCCCTGTGTAATTGCTTCAGCCCTCTTCTAGCCTCTCCTCTGCCGAGTGAACTCAGATCTGGATCCGGTTTTCCAGGTTAAGAATCTGGCGTACAAAGATGGCACGGCGACTGTTTCCACCCAGCTATCTGTTCTCCAAGATGTAGCCATCCACAGCAGGGCATCCAAGCTGGAAAATTTGCAATGCAAATTTTAACTTTCCCCTATAAGAAACATTTTCTATGAAATCCTGCAATTCCACTTGAATTCGTTCTTATAATTGAAAATTTTGGTGGCAGTTATGACTCATCATGTGTAATTCTGGGAAAGCTACAATAAAGAAATTGGTTGATTTCGTAGAGCAAAACAAGTGAAGGATATACGCAGATTCCACTTAAAGAAATCATACGGGATAAACCGGCTGTTAACGTTTAGAAGAAAAAAAAGCTATTATCATTTGGTGACTGATTTGCTTGTCTAACAACATTAGCGAAAGAGAAAGATGTGTAAACTATAGACACAATCACCGGGTCTTTTCAGGTATCAAAGATGAGCCAAAAAATGAGAAAGTGACTCTTCCAGTCAAACCTTTGGTATGTCTTCTGGAAAGTTACCACCAATACAACAAACAACATTGCAAGTTTAATCACGATGTGTCCACAAAATTATTCCGTTTATTTTCACGTTCAGCAAAACGCATGCTGTATTTTTATTTTTAGAGTTGGCTATAAAATGCATGGTCCAAATAAAGGATATTTTGAGGTTTATACAGGAAGCGTCACTGGTTCAATAGCCTTAAAAAAATATAGATTAATATTCTTCAAACTCAAAACTGTTGATGTAGCACGTGGCAATTGGGTAACTGGTGTGTTATTATGGTGATAATGATAGCGCATCTACGAAATATGATATCAGCATTCCATGGATGGTGTGGGTAGGAGGTCGGTGATGTAGGGCACTTTGTCAAAAATAAAAGGTGCTTGAGAGCCTGTGTTTTCGTTTACATTTATTTGCTGCCAACATTCCCTGTTGTCGTCAAATATGTCTGCATGATCACTAAGACGTTCCTCGTGACATTACTAGACTATTGTACATGACATTTCACCGACAATCAAGACTTGTTTTGGATATCCACTCTGCCTTGGATGAAGCGCAAAAAAGAGCATTTCAGCAATCAGGTAAAACCAAAACAGGTAAAGCAGTCATCTTCGCCGGAGGTGAAGTATGATCCTATTAGCGGGTAGCGGGTAGTAGTGCATTGCGGCTTTGCTACGGCTGGTGTTTTCAGTCAAGCACACTGTGTCCTATCTACTGTGCTGGGTCCTTTTCCATGGGGAGGTTTGAGGCTATTCCCTGCCGCCAGCGTTATATCACATCTGGAGTAACCAATACAATCCCCCACAACCTGTCCGTGCTGGGAATTTGTTAAAAGCTTTTGTTAATTTCGGCTTTGTTCTCATGAATGATTAAACCTTTTCTGGTGAAGAAGGCAGGCTGGGCATGACTGGCAGTATCATACCATGCAGCATTGATCTTAGTACTTGGTGGCATCCCTTTGAATAGACTTATGCGTCAGTAGTGTGATATATTGGTGTTAATAAGACGTACTTCAGACGTGCAGAACTATCCCATCAGCATGGAATTAGCATTTCAAAAAGATGCAAAAATTCAATGAAAGAAGTCAAATTACAAGCACAGTACGCACTATTTTTTTTACTGATGCTTGCAGAAGTCTGCGAAAATTGCATGGATAAAGTTATCGCCCAAGGCACAGTAGTAAAGGTAATCGAACACAAGAGAACGACAGACGACAAAGAGACAAAGAAAGTGAGTGGCACGGTTCCGCAAAAAGAAAAAGCTTCAAACAAAGACATAAAGGGAGATACTAACATTAAGAAAGAAGAAGAAGCGACTAGACAAGAGACGAAGAGAGATACAGAGGCTGTCAAGGATGAAGCGGAAAAACAAGAACCGGACAATTACGTCATGGAAGAAAAAGGAGAAATGCCAGTACAGGAGATAGAAGCATTAGAACAGAAAACTGATACAGTTCAAGATATAAAGGTAGAGGCAGATGTCATAGAGCAGAAAGATGAAGCTAAAGAGCAAGAGACAAACGTCGCAGCAATTCTAAATGCCCAACAGAATTTGCAGGAATATGCTAAAGAGATAGGAGCGCATGAATGGTTAAATGAAATACTTAGTGATCTTGACCAAAACCCAAAGGAAAGTCCTTATTACATGATGGATATGGAAGCAATTCGAAAATTCCTTGAGGACGACCAACCTAGATCTAAGAGTTATCAAAAACAAAAAACACCAGAAAGTGTTCCAGAACCAACAACATCAGCAAGTGTTGCAGAACCAGTAACACAAGAGAGTGTTCAAGAACCAGTAACACCAGCAAGTGCACCAGAACAAACAACACCAGCAAGTGCCCCAGAACCAATTGCAACAACAACAACAAGTGCACCAGAACAAACAACACCAACAAGTGTTCAAAAACTGACAACACCAGCAAGTGCACCAGAACAAACAACACTAGCAAGTACACACAAACCAACAACACCAGCAAGTGCACCAAAACAAACAACGCCAGCGAGTGCACAAGAACCAACAACACCAGCAAGTGCACCAGAACCAACAACACCAGAAAGTGTTCAAGAATCAACAGCACCAGCAAGTGTTCCAGAACCAACAACACCAGCAAGTGTTCCAGAACCAACAACACCAGCAAGTGCACCAGAACCAGCAACACCAGCAAGTGCACCAGAACCAATTGCAACAACACCAGCAAGTGTTCCCAAACCAACAACACCAGCAAGTGTTCCAGAACCAGTAACACCAGCAAGTGCACCAGAACCAACAACACCAGCAAGTGTTCCAGAACCAGTAACACCAGCAAGTGCACCAGAACCAACAACACCAGCACGTTTTCCAGAACCAACAACACCAGAAAGTGTTCCAGAACCAGTAACACCAGAAAGTGTTCTAGAACCAACAACACCGGCAAGTGCACCAGAACCAACAACACCAGCAAGTGCACCAGAACCAACAGCACCAGCAAGTGTTCCAGAACCAACAACACCAGCAAGTGTTCCAGAACCAGTAACACCAGAAACTATTTCAGAACCAGCAACACCAGAAAGAGTTCCAGAACCAGAAACACCAGAAAGTGTTCCAGAACCAGTAACACCGGAAAGTGTTCCAGAACCAGTAACACCAGAAAGTGTCCAAGAACCAGTAAAACCAAAAAGTGTTAAAAAACCAACAACACCAGCAAGTGCACCAGAACCAACAACACCAGCAAGTGTTCCAAAACCAGTAACCCCTCAAAGTGTTCCAGAACCAACAACACCAGCAAGTGTTCCAGAACCAATTGCAACAACACCAGCAAGTGCACCAGAACCAACAACACCAGCAAGTGTTCCAAAACCAGTAACCCCTCAAAGTGTTCCAGAACAAAAAACACCAGCAAGTGTTCCAGAACCAACAACACCAGCAAGTGCACCAGAACCAGCAACACCAGCAAGTGCACAAGAACCAATTGCAACAACACCAGCAAGTGTTCCAGACCCGACAACACCAGCAAGTGTTCCAGAACCAACAACACCAGCAAGTGTTCCAGAACCAGTAACTTCAGAAACTATTTCAGAACCAGAAACACCAGAACGTGTTCCAGAACCAGAAACACCAGAAAGTGTTCCAGAACCAGTAACACCAGAAAGTGTTCAAGAACCAGTAACACCAGAAAGTGTTCAAGAACCAACAACACCAGCAAGTGCACTAGAACCAGCAACACCAGCAAGTGTTCCAAAACCAGTAACACCAGCAAGTGTTCCTGAACCAGCAACACCAGCCAGTGTTCCAGAACCAATTGCAACAACACCAGCAAGTGCACCAGAACAACAAACACCAGCAAGTGTTCCAAAACCGACAACACCAGCAAGTGTTCCAGAACCAGTAACACCAGCAAGTGTTCCGGAACCATCAACACCAGCAAGTGTTCCAGAACCATCAACACCAGCAAGTGTTCCAGAACCGACAACACCAGCAAGTGCACCAGAACCAGCAACACCAGCAAGTGCACCAGAACCAATTGCAACAACACCAGCAAGTGTTCCAGAACCGACAACACCAGCAAGTGTTCCAGAACCGACAAATCCAGCATGTGTTCCAGAACCAACAACACCAGCAAGTGCACCAGAACCAACAACACCAGCAAGTGCACCAGAACCAACAACACCAGCAAGTGCACCAGAACCAACAACACCAGGAAGTGTTCCAGAACCAACAACACCGAAAAATGTTCCAGAACAAGTAACACCAGAAAGTGCTCTAGAACCAACAACACCAGCAAGTGCACCAGAACCAACAACACCAGCAAGTTTTCCAGAACCAACAACACCAGCAAGTGTTCTAAAACCAGTAACAACAGAAACTTTTTCAGAACCAGCAACACCAGAGAGTGTACCAGAACCAGAATCACCAGAAAGTGTTCCAGAACTAACAACACCAGCAAGTGCACTGGAACTAACAACACCAGCAAGTGCACCAGAACCAACAACACCAGCAAATGTTCCAAAACCAACAACACCAGTAATTGTTCCAGAACCATTAACACCAGAAACTATTTCAGAACCAACAACACCAGCAAGTTTACCAGAACAAAAAACACCAGGAAGTGTTCCAGAACCAGTAACACCAGCACGTCTTCCGGAACCAACAACACCAGCAAGTGTTCCACAACCAACATTACCAGAAAGTGTTCCAGAACCAACAACACCAGCAAGTGTGCCAGAACCAGTAACACCAGCAAGTGTTCCAGAACCAGTAACACCAGCAAGTGTTCCGGAACCAACAACACCAGCAAGTGTTCCACAACCAACAACACCAGCAAGTGTTCCAGAACCAACAACACCAGCAAGTGTTCCAGAAACAATATCACCAGCACGTGCACCAGAACCAACAACACCATCAAGTGTTCCAGAACCAACAACACCAGAACGTGTTCCAGGCCAAACAACACCACGCAAGTGTTCAAGAACCAGCAACACCAACAAGTGTTCCAGAACCAACAACACCAGCAAGTGCTCTGGAACCAAAAACACCAGCAAGTGTTCCCGAACCAGTAACACCAGCAAGTGTTCCAGAACCAGCAACACCAGCAAGTATTCAAGAACCAGTAACACCAGCAAATGTTCCAGAACCAACAACACCAGCAAGCGCACGAGAACCAACAACATCAGCCAGTGTTTCAGGCCAAACAACACCAGCAAGTGTTCCAGAACCAACAACACCAGAAGTGTTCCAGGCCAAACAACACCAGCAAGTGTTCCAGAACCAGTAACACCAGGAAGTGCACCAGAACCAACAACACCAGCAAGTGTTCTGGAACCAACAACACCAGCAAGTGTTCCAGGCCAAACAACACCAGTAAGTGTTCCAGAACCAGTAACACCAGCAAGTGTTCCAGAACCGACAACACCAGGAAGTGTTGCAGAACCAACAACACCAGGAAGTGCACCAGAACCAACAACACCAGCAAGTGTTCTAGAACCAACAACACCAGCAAGTGCACCAGAACCAACAACACTAGCAAGTGTTCCAGATGTAACAGTACCAGTAACGTGTTCCAGAACCAACAGCGCCAGCAAGTGCTTCAAAGCCAATAACACCAGCAAGTGTTCCAGAACCAGTAACACCAGGAAGTGCACCAGAACCAACAACACCAGCAAGTGTTCCAGGCCAAACAACACCATCAAGTGTTCCAGAACCAACAACACCAGCAAGTGTTGCAGAACCAACAACACCAGCAAGTGCACCAGAACGAACAACACCAGCAAGTGTTCCAGAACCGACACCAGAAAGTGTTCAAGAACCAGTAACACCAGCAAAATTTCCAGAACCAACAACACCAGCAAGTGTTCCAGAACCAGTAACAACAGCAAGTGTTCCAGAGCCAGTAACACCAGCAAAATTTCCAGAACCAACAACACCAGCAAGTGTTCCAGAACCAGCAACAACAGCAAGTTCACCGGAACCAACAACACCAGCAAGTGTACCTGAACCAACAACACCAGCAAGTGTTCCAAAACCGACAACACCAAGAAGTGTTGCAGAACCAGTAACACCAGAAAGTGTTCCAGAACCAACAACACCAGCAAGTGTTCCAGAACCGACAACACCAGCAAGTGTTGCAGAATCAACAACACCAGCAAGTGTTCCAGAACCAACAACACCAGCAAGTGTTCCAGAACCAGTAACACCAGCAAGTGCACCAGAACCAACACACCAGCAAGTGTTCCAGAACCAACAACACCAGCAAGTGTTCCAGAACCAGTAACAGCAGCAAGCGCACAAGAACCAACAACGCCAGCAAGTGTTCCAGGCCAACAACACCATCAAGTGTTCCAGAACCAACAACACCAGCAAGTGTTCCAGAACCAACAACACCAGCAAGTGCACCAGAACGAACAACACCATCAAGTGTTCCAGAACCAACAACACCAGAAAGTGTTCCAGGCCAAACAACACCAGCAAGTGTCCCAGAACCAGTAACACCAGGAAGTGTTCCAGAACCAACAACACCATCAAGTGTTCCAGAACCAACAACACAGAAAGTGTTCCAGGCCAGACAACACCAGCAAGTGTTCCAGAACCAGTAACACCAGGAAGTGCACCAGAACCGACAACACCAGCAAGTGTTGCAGAACCAACAACACCAGGAAGTGCACCAGAACCAACAACACCAGCAAGTGTTCCAGGCCAAACAACACCAGCAAGTGTTCCAGAACCAGTAACACCAGCAAGTGTTCCAGAACCGACAACACCAGCAAGTGTTCCAGGCCAACAACACCATGAAGTGTTCCAGAACCAACAACACCAGCAAGTGTTCTAGGCCAACAACACCAGCAAGTGTTCCAGGCCAACAACACTAGCAAGTGTTCGAGAACCAACATCACCAGCAAGTGCACCAGAACGAACAACACCATCAAGTGTTCCAGAACCAACAACACCAGAACGTGTTCCAGGCCAAACAACACCAGCAAGTGTTCCAGAACCAGTAACACCAGGAAGTGCACCAGAACCAACAACACCAGCAAGTGTTCTGGAACCAACAATACCAGCAAGTGTTCCAGGCCAAACAACACCAGTAAGTGTTCCAGAACCGACAACACCAGCAAGTGTTGCAGAACCAACAACACCAGGAAGTGCACCAGAACCAACAACACCAGCAAGTGTTCTAGAACCAACAACACCAGCAAGTGCACCAGAACCAACAACACTAGCAAGTGTTCCAGATGTAACAGTACCAGTACGTGTTCCAGGACCAACAGCGCCAGCAAGTGCTTCAAAGCCAATAACACCAGCAAATGTTGAAGAAGTAACGACAGCATCAGATGTACTAGACCAAACATTTGTAAAGCCTGCTCTTACCGCAACCTCTGTAATTTCAGAGGAACAGGTTAAAGAATTACGTGCAATGGCCAAGCACCTAGGGATGGAGAAGGAAATCGAAGGCACGCTACAGCACATGCAGCATCTGGCTGCTGAACACGAGACTCTGAAGATGAAAATAGATACAGTAAAGAAAGAGGAGACAACATTCGGAAGACAAGCAAATCCGCTCGGTGCCCGACAGAAGTCTGTCGTATTGCCAAAAGGAGTAGACAGACCGCCGTCAGAGAAAGAGACCAAATCACCTTGGGGTATCTTAGCAACAATGAAGTCAGAATTTCAGAAACTGAGACCACCTTTTTTTAAGACACCTGAGACACCCCGTGAACAACCACCAGCTGAGCCGAAAGAACCAAGGAAGGAAACGGCTACCGGCTCGGCGGCTCCCGTGGCTGAGCGCAAAAAGAAGAGAAAGAAGAAGAAGAAATCTAAACAGTCTCCACAGCCTGTAAATAGGCAGTGGATGTACCACCACGAGGCTATCGCAGGTGCATTTCATGCGTCTGTAGATTCAATATGGAGTGATAAACAATTGGCTTATCGAAAATAGAATTGACCTTGAAATAATAACTAATTGGCTTATTAGTATGCAACAGCGCTACTGAGGACAATGTATGGTATGCAGAAATATATGTGCTATAATTAGCAGAAATATGTCATTTTAAACATCTACAATATCTATCCATGTAGTATTACTTAGCTTTTAAAAAAGCTAAGTAACGAAGTCCAATGATATAAAAAGCCCAGAGATTAGGTTCCTACGAGAGTAAACGTTAGGATTGAAGTTCGACAGGATTAAAAGTTAAAGATCCACATGTATGTTTGTGTGAAATTGCCTCTCTCTGTGTGTTTTTACAATGCTCATGTATGTGCACACACACACACACACACACAAACACACACACACACACACAAACTCATACGTGTGTACATAGGCATCTATGTGTGCTTGTATGTACATCACTAGATATCATCAAGTTTACTAATGTACATGTATGTGTACATGCACCATTCTCATGTATGTATGTACGTACACATACTCATACTCACTATTTACTATGTACTCTCCAATAGAGAGTTTGTCGATGTTAGTCGTAACATGACTAAAATCTATTCAATAGTCCATAAGAAAGGTAAAATCATGGACGTTTTATAAAGAGGTCTCTTGAAGGAATTTCGTCCACGCTCGTATTTATCCATTATATTAATCACCATCATCTTCGTTATTATCCATATACTGCCAAGTCAGCAATACAGCGGATTATTGTCAGCTGAGCATTGTTAATGACTATAAAAATTGGGTAGAAATGAGGAGGGACGTATTATTCGAAACTAGAGGTCCCTGATCTCATACCTTCGCCAAATGATGTTAATCTTTATGACTGACAATTTGTAGATTATTCCCCCTAAATGTGCAAAAAGGATCCTCATTTTCATGAATTATTTCAATTTCACATATTCTCAACCAAAGGACATACACTCTTACATCAACAATGCCATTCTAGCATTTCCTCATAAATTATGCAAATGAGGTCCTGATTTGAATACATTATGTTTAATGATGTTTACCTTCACTGAACTCAAATACCACAAGTATGAAATTCTAGGCAGTTATCATTACATAATTATCATATAGCCAGGTGGCGTTGACCAATCAGAAGCCCCCATTCCATATTGATTATGACGCCATAATGTCACAGTTAGCATGATACAAGTATTGCCAGGTGTGTTTTATTCTCACAAGTGTGCTTTGTTGCACAATAAAGCACGGCCCGGAGCACACCATTTGCAGGGGAGTTGACTCTTTTTGCTGACATTTGTAGCACGTTTCCTTGTTGAATAGAAATGTTTACCGTCTTGTCATCACCCAATTTATTTAGCAATACATAACAAAATAAAGACCATGTCAATACATGTGAATTTTGAGCGAAAGAAAAGAAAACATATTTTGCGCCACCCCCACTAGTAAGTACATTTCTGTATTGAAACATCCAAATGACCTCAGATGACCTCAAATGGAAGCTTGTTCTATTCTTTTGGCCCAAAATAACCACAAATGGAATACCGGTTCTATTCCGAAGTTCCGGTGAACTCAAATGAACTCTGATAGAACAGGTAAAATCATCACACTAAAGGGCATACAATTTTAGACAATGGTGTGTCATAATTTGTCATAGAGGAACTGGTTGAGGCCAATTTAGACTCAATCCTTGGAATCGGGAAAGATGCACAGGGACAGTGGCCAGCAGACGGGAGGATAGAGGAGTGACTGTAATATTTTGTTATATAATTTAGATATATGTGTTATACAGGAATGTATTACTCTCTACTGTGTAAGTTTTGATAGGCTATATGATTATAGCGTTAATGGCCCGCCCTTTCTCGGTGAATATGGTGTGATAAAGCCTTGTCAGTTGCTATAACCACCTCATAAAGCCACCTCGTTCGCTGTCGCTCACTCGATGGCTTTATTCGGTGGTTATAGCAACAACTACCAAGGCTTTATCACACCATAATCACCTCGGGGCGGGTCATTAACCCTTAATTATAAACTTTTCTCATTAATTATGCAAATAAGTCTTCATTTACATAATTAATATCTGCCTGTGTTTCTCTCGTTCTTAATTACCAATGTCACAAGCTTCAATAGTCCTATCATGGAATGCAGCTGATTTATAGAATTTCTCCATTAATTATGCAAATTACATCAATATTTGCATAATTGTCACATAATTATATCAAGCATCACGTAAGCTACCTAAAGTTACATGCCAAAAATCAGGACAATCCGTCAACCGGTTCTTGAGTTATCCTCAATTTTGAATATTTTCAAACAGATAGCCCTGCAGTTCCAGAACAAGCCGCTAGGAAGCCTAAACTCATATCACTTCTTCCCCAGCACAAGAGCTACCTACCAACTAAATTTCGTCACCCTAGCATGTCTAGATCATGAGATATCAAAACCGGAAGTTCAGCTGCAGTACCATAACAAGCCGCTAGGGGGTCCAAAATCTAATCATTTTTAGGTCTCATCAAGACCTACCCACCTACCAAGTATCAAGACAATCTATTTAAGACTTCTCAAGTTATCGTATCCACAGACGGACACACACATACACGAACGCCTCTGAAAACATAACCCTCTTGGCGAAGGTAATAATGTCCTACATCAGTTATTAAGTTAACCTAAATGAAGAAATACAGACAGAATTACGCACGCAAGTTGATCGAACTTCAGTATCAGCGCCGCCATCAAACAAGCATAATTACACAGAGGTAAAATAACACATGAACAAACAAACAAACAAACAAACAAACATTTTAGGTTTAATTACATACTTCTATTAGTGCAGGTCCTAACCCTCCTTCCCTTGGTATTGCTGGAAGGTCACAAGTAAAATGATATAAATCTCATATATTCAGCTTAATCTTATGAATTAAAAAAAATTGGGTTTTACAATTAATCTGGGAGGAGCATAAAGATCTAACAAGTAGAAGATGTTCTAGATCATATAGCCTAAATCCTAACCGACAAGTGTAATTTCGCTGAAACAGGCTATTCAGTTTATTTGAATTTACCACAAGATATACAAGTGGAAGGGAGGACAAAACAGGTGCATTGACACCTTTTCAAGTTGTCCTCCCAGTTGTTGGCGGTATTGTTTATTTTAAATGCCTTCAACTTCACAACCAAGTAAAGATAGTCTTGTCACCTCATTCTATCTATAGACACGCGTGTACAAGCCAATATAACCGTTCTATAGCGCCCAATTTCACACTTTCCTGTGTTTCCCTTCATAAGTGCTGAGCTTTCTGCAAATATCGGATCATGGAGCCGCGAAAACTGACCAATTTCTATATTGGCCGTCTGTATCCATTGGCCGCTCCACTGTAACAAACGGTCTTTCTGTGTGGGTAGGGTTTGGGCTAAAGTTACGATTACAGTTACGATTACAGTCACAAATCCTTAGACTCTCACTCTAAGGAACTAGTTACTATAGACTCTCACTCTAAGTAACGCCAAAGCCAGGTCGATTTATATTTGATGAGACTTTATTGACTAACTGCGGTATAAGATACAAAGCAATGCAACATGTAATGGAACTACAGATACAAAGTTAAACCAAGTACTAAGTGGGCAAAGACAACGAAAGCAAATACCTGCACAGAAGATGGGAGACTTGGAAACTACTTAACTAAACTACTACCCTAACCGGTGCGGGAACTGACGACGGGAAGCAGAGAGCAGCAGAGCAGCACGATTTCGGGTGCGTCCCGCTATTAAATAGTACACGCGGAAGGCGGGGCGACATCTGCATGGCGGAGGCGTGTACCACCACGTGGTCCCAGACCGTCTAAACTCAGTGATTGGCCTGTTACACCATCCCCTGGCCTACGTAATGATGCTCCCGCATCATTAACTTAACTAACTAACTAACTAACTAACTAACCAGGTACCTAACTACCTAACTTAATTTAACTTAATTTAACTTTAACTTCATTTGTACAGATGTTAACCTTACCAACTAACTAACTACCTACCTAACTTAAGAAATACGAACGTTACAGAAGCATTTAGAAAAAAATAGCATAAAGCCAATAAAATTACATGTAATACAATTCTAAATAACCGTAGCCGAAACACGTCTTTGCAAGGCCGACCCTATTATCGTCGTTCGTTAAAGAACGCAGCATAACGTATCGCAATCATCAATAAACATAACAATACAGCATAAATAAACAGACTGGAGTACACATATTCAAAATCCAGCACAAGTCAAAACAATAAACAATACACATATTCGTAATACAGCGTAAGCAACGCAATAATCAATACCCATACAAGCAAATACATTATATCATACCCCGGGCCGCGATAACGTTCGATAACGGGTTCCGGACCGGGCCGTAC